ATCAATTGGAGAGAAAATGTCTCGGAGTGATTGATATGGATACTTTCTGGATGCCTTACAAGTTCAAAATCTCCATTTCTAAAAATTGAAATATGAAGCCAAAAGATCCTATTCCCTCTTGTGCTTCTTTTTGTTCTTTAAGTCTCATTTTTAACTCTTCAAGGAGTGATGCCATTTTAAAAAATTTTAAACAACCCCCAATTGATTTTATTTTGTTTCATTAGGATCCACCATCCAAAATTCGGAAAGTATAACATATTCTTAAATCCTGGAAAACTCTGACAAGGATATGTTTGATGCACCTACAACTTGACTACTGGATATTTAAATATGAGAAAAAATAAGATAACTTCATTAAAGAGACCCCTGAATGCCATGATACAAGATTTAATACATAAAGGAGATTTAAGGAGGTTCTGGAAAGCTTCTGTGATTATCTAAAGGAATAGATTGATTAACTATGGAATACAAAAAAATGTGAACATTGAATTTTTTGTGGGGAGTGACTTTAGGCTTGAATACATGGTTTTTGGATCACTGGACAAGAGCGGGACTTATTAAAATAAGACAAGATGCTCCATCAGGAGGAAATGAGTGGAACCTGGGAAGAAGTGACATCAACGTTTCAAAGCATCAAGGACATTCTGATAAGAAACCACAAGGAGATTAAGAACTTAATGCATGGCATCGATGAAAAACTGGGAAATATTATACAAAGGACAATGAGTGACCAAGACGCCCAGGAAAAGGAGGAACCAATTGAAAAAGCAGATAAAAAGCATAACAGATTAACCAGAAAACAAAAAAAGACAACAAGAAGGAGACAATAACAAAAACGACTGATGAAATAAACCAAGGGGAAAACATTTTAAGAGATTTTAAAAGGGAACTGGAGATGCAATAAGACATTTTTCAAAGGGAGATAGGGGCATGGGTAGATAGTCTGAAAGCGAGACAATGGAAAAGGGCGGAGATGGGAGAAATGTTTTAAATGAATTCAGGATGTAGATGCAGATAAGGATAAAGATCCAAGAGAGGAATATGGGAGCCAAGTTAAAAAACGAACAATGAAAGCTTTAAAATGAACAAGAGATGATGGATAGAAAGGATTTGTTTTTAAATACTGTATAATGGTGGCATAATTAAAAGTTAGAGTAGGGATGGAAATAAGAGAGGGGGGAATACAGCATACACATTTTTTATACAATAAGACAAAAGTAATAATAAGATTAGAAATTGAATGATGTCATTATTATGTTTAAACAATATTGTGATTGGCATTGGAATAACGTATTGAAACATTGAATAATTAAATAATTAAATAATGAAAGTCTATAATTTAATACAAATATGTGTATCAACACTACAACTTCATAAGCTTGGGGAATGTAACAAATATGATTAATAGCACTATTTTTATTTGTACTAAAATGTATGATACCCAGGTGCCACACTGTTCACGCATTGATATGTATAATGTATTTTATATTGTAAAATAAAATAAAAAACTTGAAACCGAAAAAAAAACTTAGTGCAGTTGCTCCATGTGTGCAGGAAAAACCAGCATAGGCCTTATCAGAAAGCTGGTATATTGACTAAAGGCTTCCTTTAAAAATGTATCATCAAATGTGAAATTCCTCTGCACCAGTGCTATCGATCTTGACAACCTCCAATTTGTTTTACTTCACATAAACATTAAACAAGATTAGAATCAGGGACCTATGCTGTAATCAAAACTGCACTGTATATGGGATTGTACCTGAATAATGTTGATACAAATTATGTTCCCAAACTGTCCCTGGATAGTTGCCTTTAGGTTGGACTCCTAGGGGTGGGTGCCTGGCCACTTTTGGATTATTTCTGGCACAGGTCAGGCAGGCTGCTACAGCTTGGGAAGCAGTGGAATAGAGACCCTTGCCTAATGCTTAGTGTGTCAAAAAGTCTACCAGGGCTTTTGGCCCCCAATGTGTGCTAGCATGTATTTGTGATAAAAGAATCCTTAGAGGTGTATTTGATAGAATAAATTTGCTCTCTACCCTCTACCCTCCACCACCCATCATCCCCCTCCTTGCCTCCGATAGACTTGGCCCATGCCCTGTCCTTGGAAGTATAAGAGGGCGGGTAAGTGGGTATGGATGGAGACATTGGAATTAGGGAGGCTGCTAATTCTGAGTGTTGTAGGGCAGCTTCCTTAGCAGCCCTATCTGCAGCCCAGTTCCCTTTTGCGTAAAGGGTGTCTTCCTTAGAATGCCCCTTGACATGTACGACTGCTGTTTGTTTTGGCTGCCAGACTGCTTCCAATAATTCTTAAATTTGTGGGCCATACTTAATAGTTGACCCTTTTGCATTTAATAATCCTCTTTCCTTCCATAAAGCTCCATGGGCGTGCAAGATTCCAAAGGCATATTTGCTATCTGTGTAAATATTTACTGTTAGTGCTACAGCCAGCTGTAAGGCTCTAGTTAAAGCTACCAGCTCAGCCAGTTGGGCAGAAGTATTTACTGGTAGTGGTTTGGCTTTTATAACTTCCCACGGTGTGACCACTGCGTATCCTGCCTTTCTCAGACCTTCTATCATAAAGCTACTACCATATGTAAGCCATTCACAGTCAGCATTTGGGATAGGTTGATCACTAAGATCGGGTCTTACTGGCATATAGAGAATCCACCACCTCTACAGAATCATGATGCAGTTCAGTATCCACCTGGGGCAAGAGTGCAGCTGGATTGAGGGTATTGCATACCTCTAATTGTATGGCTAAGAAAAGCAGGATAGTCTGATATTTGGCTTGGTGATGCCAAGTCATCCAAAATGTTCCCTGCACTTCCATAATCTCTTGAACCCTGTGTGGGACTTTTACTATGAGATAAAATTATAGTGTTAACTATTGGGCTTCTTCAACTCGCAGGGCTGTTGCTGCCACTGTTCACAAGCCATCCCAATGCCACAAGTCTTTGCCATGAGCCTAATTTCTGGGTGAGAACACTCATGGCAATGCCTTTCCATTTGTGTACAAATAGAGTAAAAGGTGTAGTGGGGTTTGGAAGCCCCAGTGCTGGTGCTCCCATAAGCTCACTCTCTATTTGTGTGAATGTTTGTTAGCATTACTTAATCCATTCAAATATTTTCCATCCCCCCTTTAACAACCTCATAAAGGGGCTTGACAATTAATCAAAAATTAAGAATCCACCTCCAAGAATCCCAATTGTTTTCTGTTAACAGGGGGCTTTAATGGATTCTTTCCCTCCTTAGGTTAACAGTCTCTGCTGCCCTGCAGAGATGCCATACCCTAAGTTTTTAACCTCCTGCTGTACAATTTGGGCTTTTGTTGTTTCAGACACATTGTAGCCTTTCCTGAAGCCCCAACAAAGGTATGACATTGCTAGTCTGAGGAGCAATCGGTCTGTTAAGGACAGATCTACTGGCTCCTGTATCTATTAACACTTTATGTTTAGATCTCCCGTTTTTGACTTCCACCAGGCGTTTGGAGATTGGGGGAGCAATAGCTCCCTGCTCCTGGCCTCTTCACTCTTCTTTTTCTGCTTGCATGGCTATAGGCACCAGGCATCCACTCTTCCAATAACCTTCCTTTCTCCATATAGCACACTTGTTGGGTCCCAAGGGGACCTTTCCTCTTCCATGCCCATACTACTTCCTCGAGCTACCTGAACTCCCCTTCCCTGCCTTCCTCTTCCGGTTTGTCCCCTTCCTCCCCACTTTTCCTGCCTAAGGACATCTGCTAGGAAGATAGCATTTCAGTAAGCCTTCTGAATTTCTTTCTTATTTTCTTCTTGTCCTCTGTTAGTAAAAAACGTTATAAGCTATCTCAACCAATTCTAAAATGCCTTTCCCTGGACCTCCTTCTACTTTCTGGAATGTTCTTCTTATATCTTCTTCTGACTGCCCTATAAAAATCATGTTTATCATTTTCTGATTGTCTGAGGCTTCAGGATCTAAATCAGTGTATTGACTGAAAGCCTGGTATATTCTTTCAAGAAAATCTCCAGGACTTTCCTCTTTCTTTTGCCTTATTTCATATACTTTTGCAAGATTCTTAATTTTAGGAATTCAATTTTGGATTTCATACAAGAGTAAGGATTGATAATTTCGCAGTCTCATATTGTCCTGGTCATCATCCAGATCCCATTCTGGCTCTGTGAAGGCACACTTCCAGTGGTTGTCATTATCATGCTTTTTTTTTAACTGCCACTCCATTGTCCCCCTCACCAGTCTCCGTTCCTCTGGTGTTAAAAGGACATCCATCAATGTCTGAATGTCTGCCCAAGTGGGGTTATGTGTCCTTATAATAGATAAGAACAGAGAGCGGGGTTGCGTGCATACGCAGGGGGTGTGGGGGTCCCTGCATGTATTGCCTTCTGGGTGCTGGTATGTGAGCACACGTGAGGCACGCAATTTTCAGCACGGGAGCCCAAAAATGTTAGCCACCACTGCCCTAGGAGTTATCTAATACACATTTGATTTGCTGCAGGCCATCTCTATTCCTAACTTTTAGCTGAGGTCTGCAAGTTGTCTAAGTCGTGTTACTTTTATCAGCTTTCTAATTAGCCAGGATTGTTACAAGATTTACACATGCATATTTCCTGTGGATAAGAATTCTTTGTTCTTGCCAGACAGACTCCACAATTACAGGCTTCCTGATTTACTTTCAAGTGTGTGTATGACCTTGCTTTATTTTAGCAGACAGCCCATCACGTACAGTAAATAAATGCAAGAATGAAACTTTTTCTGTACGTGAACTTAAAACATTCTCTCATAATCTTAGGCTGTTGTTAAAGGTATAGAGAGGGAAGGAAAAAAATGAAGCCAGGCAAACTCAGGGTGAAGTCTTTTTTTTTTCTTCAACTCTTTTTTTTTCCTAACAATTTAAAATTCTTGTCTCTAGGGATCAGAGACATTTAACAGTTGCAATTACCTTGAGGACACACAAAGACTTTGACACACACACACACAAACAAGGAGAAAAGGAGAGGAAAACAGAACTCTCAGGTTTACACCCTGGACATTCCCACCATAAATCTCAGTTAAATTAGGGAAGGCACAAATCTTAACAAATATATCACGTGGTTGCATGGAAGACAGAGAGGAAGAGAGAGAAACAAACAAACAAAACCTCAATGTTCATCTCTCTATATAAAAGCGAAATACCACTCACGCATCATCACAAAATCTCCAGAACCGTAAAGCCTAAAAACTTGAAATTTGGCATGTATGTTCCTCTTGGCTTCTAGGTGCTCACTAAGAAAGGCTTTTTCTAAATGACCATCAAAGCATTAATATTTCCTATATTATTATTGACACGCTCTGATGCTAAGGAGTTCTACTCCCCCTCTCCACCTGAAAATAAATCTGTTCCAAATGCAAAACACAAACATAGGAGAGGAGTTTCAGTTTCACAGCAGCAACCAGCTTTAGTACATAACAGTTGAGCTGAGCCATGCCCAGGCTCCTTGCTGTCTCCTTCTTGCTCACACAGCAAATACTGTTTCAGTTTCCAAACAGCCCTTAACTGTCTCACACACTGACAGGACACTAGCCAGATTAATATTGATGGATGCTGGTAGGCAGAGGCACATTTTTCACCTTATTTTCCTCCCCCAAAACTGTAGCGAAGCACAGGTATAGACCTAGGATAGTGTCATGCCCCTGGTGGAGACTGACTCTGAGGAAGAGGAGGAACAGCCAACAGGGAGTGGAAGTGTGGCTCCAGAGGTGGTGGAGGAGGCTGGGGAAGGGCAGAGGCTGGCTGATATCCCTTTTCTTTTAAGTACCCTTATTTAGCCAAACTGCTTTTCCAGCTTCGTCCCTGAACAAAGCCCATTCCTTGCATATTACTTTTGCTCGATCCGTTTTCATACCAGCAAGGATGGGCACCAGCCTGTCATCCCATGCCACAAGCAAATCACCCAGTGAGTATCTAGGTTTGTCCCTCAAGCTACAGTTTCCCATGTTCCCCTGCTGATGTGGTGTTCACTTTGAGCTAGTCGGGCTTTTACCTGCCGCAGCTGCTGCTGCTTTCAGCCAACCAGTTCTTAGATAGCTCCAGTCCGGGAGGACTTTTGTTGCAATATCATGACACATCAGTAGGAAGTCACGTACACAGAAAACCCAATACACATACAAGGCGACACTATTGGAACAGCAACGTGTAAAACATGAGTTGGCTATAGCATAAGGTGTAGCCATATATGGCAATATTCCCTATTCCTGTCTAACTTCCTCATGTGTAACATAACCCCCCCGCCTGCTTGCTGCACAATAAAAGAGAGGTGCGTAGTACTATCTGTGCTTCCTCTCACCAAAAGAAACCTTTGTGTCGCTGTCATCTTTGCCACTAAGAGGAGCCCGCCCGGACAGTCTGCCTGGGTGCAGGTCGTCAGCTGACTGATTCATCCCGGTACTGGGACCCGCAATGCATCAACTGGTGACCCCGACGTGATCGTCTCAACGATACGTCCCCGACAAAGCGTGATTCTTGTCTAGGAATGCGCTTCCTTCACTCCTGTACTACGCACCTGGAATAGGCTCGCGCATCGTAAGTATGGGCTCCTCACTTTCTCAAGTTCAACTCAAGCATAGGGATGAACTTCTCACTTTAGTGAAGAAGGCAAATTATTTGCAAAAGGCTAACGGCACAAATGTATATCCTCTGTCAAAAAAGTATTTGGATGATTTTTTGAGTTATGTCCAACAACACTGCCCCGCGTATCCTGCGGAAGGCACTCTTAAACGTTCCTCTTGGGAACGGATGGGGAAATGGATGCATGAACCACCCAGGGCTCTGCCTCAGATTATTTGTTCTTGGCGTGCCATTATGGCCGCCCTTAATATTCTCTTTCCCGATGATTCTATCCAGTCTTCCTCAGACCCACCTTCTGCTGAACTCTGTCCTGTTGCTGCCTCGGCACCTCCACCCTACTCCACCCCACCCCTTGACTCTTCTCTGAACCCCTCTTCTCCGTTGCCTCCTTCCGCCATGGCGACAGATCCTCCTGTCCGTAATGCCTTTCAATCGGCTTTGGCGGAAGGAAAGCTATCTGCAGATGATCTTTCTTGTTTCCCTATGATTCTTCAAACCCCCGCTGCTGGGGGTAATCCTGTCCCTCATTATACCCCATTAGAGTGGACTTTGTTAAAGGAATTAAAAACTGCTGCTTCTAAGTATGGCATCGACTCCCCGTATACCCGCCAACTTTTAGCCAACATTTCTACGCATCATCTGGTTCTTGCTTCAGAGTGGAAAGCTATTGCTTCTATGCTTCTCTCTCCTGCTTCGCTTGCCACCTGGCACAATGAATTTCGCCTCGGTATTAATGCCGCTGCTGCTGCAGCCGGACTACCAGCAGGAGTTACTCTTGATCATCTCTTATGCCAAGGTACGGTGCAAAACCCCGCGCAAGAGATCACTATGGGAGCGGGGGGTACCCGATTATGAGGGAAGCTGCACTAAATGCCTTCAAGCGGCTCCCTAACACCTCTCAACCTACCCACTCCTTTACTTCTATCCTTCAAGGGCCCTCTGAACCCTATACCTCCTTTACTGATCGTCTCACAGATGCCATTAGCAGGCAAGTGGATAATATTGCCGCTCAGAGCGAACTTCTCATGTGTTTAGCCATTGCTAATGCTAATGTGGACTGTCAGAAAATTCTTAAGCCCCTTCAAGCCTTGCCAACTCAAAATCTTGCGGATTATATTCGCGCGTGCCAGGAAGTAGGCACGGAATCTCACCGCACTGCGGCTTTAGCTTCAGTTCTTTCTTCTACTCTTGCTTTGTCCACCTCTCGCCTGAAGGGAAATTGTTATAATTGCGGGAAGCCTGGCCATTTTCGTTCACAGTGTCGTGCTCCGGGTGGCGGCAGCGCCCCTCGTGGGCGTGGCCAGCCCCCCGGTTCTAAACCAAAGACTGTGTGCCCGCGCTGCCGCAATGGTTTCCATTGGGCCAGCCAGTGCCGCACCAATCCCCACCCGGCTCAGCAACAGCCGAAAAACTAGTTTTGGGGCCAACAGCTAGCCCCATTCCAAAGGCTGTACCTACTTCCTTGCCAGTCCTTCTATCCGAATCCATTGTCTATGAGGATCCTGGATCTGTCGTCACCCTTCCTCTGACAGTAGCATTTCCTGTCCCTTCACAGCACCCTTTGCTGATTATTCCTAACTCCACCCTGACTATTGAAGGAGTGGTGGCAGCCCCGTTCCTCTATGATGATCAATCTTTAGCGAATCTTTCCCTGGCCTGCATAGGGGACCGCCCCTTCTCAATGGCCAAGGGTTCTATTGTTGCCACCCTTGTCATTCTTCCTCCCCCTTCTGATTTGTTAGCTTTGGATCGCCCAGTGGAAGGAAATAAGCCCATGATGACCGTCCAATTAAATGGTCGTCTCTTTACAGGGTTGGTTGATACAGGCGCAGACGTTTCCGTCATCTGTACCTCTGAGTGGCCCCCTACCTGGCCAACCAAAGAATCCCCCTCTGTCCGGGGAGTCGGCGGTGTTCAAACAGCAAAGGTCAGTTCTAAGTGGCTTTCTGCCACTTCTGCTGGCGTCTCCACTACTGCTTACATTCAACCTGTCATCCTTCCTCTTCACGTTAATCTGTGGGGACGGGACCTTCTCTCTCAATTTCATGCCACGCTAACCATTCCTTAGCCAATGGCAACTCTTACCCCTCTCAAACTTCAACTCAAATCTTCAACTCCAGTCTGGATTGATCAATGGCCACTACCTGTAGAAAAACGATCAGCCTTACAGGGTTTAGTCAAGGAACAACTTACTTTAGGTCACCTCGAGCCATCACAAAGTCCTTATAATACTCCTGTCTTTGTCGTAAAAAAGAAATCAGGGAAATGGAGGCTCCTTCAGGATTTGAGGGCCATTAATACCATCCTCCAACCCATGGGGGCGTTACAATGCGGCTTGCCTAATCCTAATATTATTCCTCATAATTATGACCTCATTATAATTGATCTGAAGGACTGTTTTTTCTCTATACCTTTGAATAAAAGTGATCGCCTCTTGTTTGCATTTACGGTGCCAGAATATAACAATGCTAAACCTACTGCTAGATATCAGTGGAAGGTTTTACCTCAGGGCATGCTGAATAGCCCAACTATGTGCCAATATTATGTAGACCAGGTTCTCACCCCATTTCGAGAGAGCCACCCCTCACTTTTAGTATATCATTACATGGATGACATCTTGATAGCAGCTGAAGGGCCAAAAGGCACCGTACAAAAAACTATTCCTGAACTCACACAGCAACTCACCGCTGCAGGACTTCATGTAGCGCCTGAGAAGATACAAGCCCATTATCCCTTCCAATATTTAGGCCATAA